GGAGATGGTGGAAACGTTACAGCTCTCGAAGTCGACATCATCATAGGGACTGGTTACTTTCTAAACGGGCTGTACATATTTTGCCAAGTTGAGGTGGACGCGACGCTTATATCCTTGTTCTTTTTTATTTTTCCTCTCCGCAAATCGATCGGAACGAACTCTTTAAAGAACGCGCGAAGATTTCTTTTGAATTTTTAGGGCTTTTGACACCATCTTGGGCCAAACCATACGAGAAATGACTTGTCACCTGGACGATGATGAATGCCACACTTGAGAAGCAATGGAAGGATCATGACCAAATGAGTTCTTGTTTTGTCTAGCAGCTGGAGGTGAGGCTGGAGAGCTGGAGCAACGACTACAACTTAAATCCTGCAGCCAAGCATGGTCCATCTTCTCCTTCAAGCAGGACAGTAGCCAAGATGCTTATTTAGATATAACTGGCCATTGTACTTGGATGCTAAAAACTAGTATGAAGATCTCTTTAGTTATTGTGCCAAATTCTTTAGATATTCTTGCAGAATGCTCATACATCAGGGTCCATCTAGAAAGCAAATCATAGCAATACAACAATTCTAAGATAACATATGACAGAAACTATAATGTATTGGTAATCTGCTCATACTCTTGGTTTATCATCCACAGCTATATCAAACATGACTACTAATTGAGGTGAAAATTCATTTGATATTTAATATCAACCAATTGAAATGTATTGATTCACCCTATTACCTGCTATAAATACTGGAAGTGGCCTCTGCCCAAGTGCTCTTCTAGCTTGTGCCCACTCAACCTCCTTCTCAAATGCATTATATAGACTAATATGTTTATGAGAAAATTCATCACTCTCCTCCATAAAAGCATTAATGTGTTTTGTCAATTACTTGATAGAAAAATCACCCACACAAAGATAACATCTCCCATTTAGACTTATTGAAGAACTCTTTCACCTTGTCCTAATTCACTTCTAAATTTTATTTACAGATCATCAGAATCATCAAATTTTATGGTTAAATCAGTCACCCCTAAATCATTTATTTTTAACATCCTTGCTCAAATGCAATATTGCTTTCCAAACATGGCAAAATAGCTAAAATGATAAGTGAGAGAAGTGTTTCATAGCATTGTGCCAGTTGAAAAGTATTACAAAGGATTAGTTGGGGTAAGTGCATGCACAAGTTTTATAAGATTTTGATGAAGTGATAATCACAATATTTTTAATTTGATTCAATCTTACATATTTAGCTTTGCATGAAGCAAAAAACTTTGGAAGTAAACATTATATTGCATAATTAATTTAAATGGCCTTTAATAGATGATGCAATTGTTGGAAATCATCATCACATTTATCAACATATCCAAAATTCGTGTTTGAAAATGTTTGAAAGAAGGCTTTAATCCACAGGAGTGGCCACATTCAAACAATTATACCACCATAATAATATCTTTTTGATATATATGGGAAACTTAAGTAGACTTTGAACATCATCCCAAGAATCATAGGTGGCAATCACCATAAAGTGATTGAATTAATAATACACATCATCCTCAAAATTCTCATAGAAAAACTTTAACCAAATGTGAGGATTAGCAGCAAAACCAAAAAGAGTTATACTATGTATAAATATCATTATTAATTAAGTTTGATTGTTTAACTGCTACTACATAGCATTGAGCAACTGCACTAAGTGCTACTCTAAAAAGCTAGAAAAATAAAAGAGAATAAATGAAAAGAAATTATAAGAATAAAGGAGATTTAAATCATGCAAAAGCTAAATTTATAAATCTGATTGTATGGATTACATGAATTTCTATATTCAATTAGCCCAAAAACCCAAGCATATATATAGAAATGGATTGAACTACTGAAATCCCACTATTCTAATAATAATAATAGGACCTTATATTTGCTAATTAAGAATTTGATACATCTTGATATTTAAATATATGTTATATAGTAAAATGATAATACATTTATAATGTAAACCATATTTAAAATGCCCACTTCAAGATTTAGTATGTATTTCCTTTATATTTCCTTTTATAGTTTTTAATTCAGGAATAGTATAGTCTTAAAAAAAAAACTTTATAATTGCAAGAAAACAATTCATTAGCTTTTTAAAATAAAATATTAATATTAAAGAAATAAGAATAAATCTGTAATTAATAATTAAAAAGTGTGACATTAATAACTTAGTGTATATGTTGATTGAATTTATTCTCATAACACATGTATAAAATAACATATTTTATAATAGTCTTACTTCAAAATATATTGTTTGTGATAAATATAGGGGGCTTTCACAATTTTAATCACAATGTTGTCAAAAATAATATAGAAATAAAAATCATAATTTCTTTGTTCATTTCAACATTATTCATTTTTATACTTTAATGCTTTAGATAAATATTCAAGTGGAGAGATAGAAGCATTACTATTGATGCTATTTAATTAGTTAAAATTTTTATATAAAATTTGTTAATCAAAACATTTTAAAAGTGTTGGTATAAATAATTTAGTTTTTAACTTAAAAAATTATAATCATAATTATTATTATACTGTTAGTATACATATCTTGTTATATATTTAGATTTTAATTATAATTTTTAAAAAGAAAACAAAATATATTAAATAATATATTATTTAATTTTCATCATTAGTAGATTTGGTTAAATGATTAATTACAAACACTTTATAATTAAACAAAATTAAAATTAAAAAATATTAAAAATTAAATTAAAATGAAATGTTCAGATGAATATTCCTTTGAATGTTTAGGTCTTTTACCTTTGGCTAGGGCTTTTGTAGCGCGGCGATGGCATGAGGTGAGCGCCCCCTCTTCCCTTCAAAGAGAATGGAAAGTGATGATGCTGGTGATGATGATCTGGTAGATGATGAGGAGCTGTGTGCGTTTGTGGCCCGCCATGGATTCCTGGAAGACGAGGACGGAGATCCGGCGGACGAGGACGGAGGAGAGGAAGACGGAGAGGCGGCGGACGAGGCCGTTTTGCAGTCCTTGCGGAGCGTCTGTGAGAAGATCGAGGGTAAGAAGCGATTGGAAGTGGAAAGCAGTGGGGTGGAGCAGCAGCCAATTCAGGGACTGGATGAGCAGCAAGAAACTCAAGGTGTGGAACAGCAGGAAACCCAGGTACTGGACTACAACTCGCAGCTCCTCCAGCATTCTCTCGACAAGAACAAGCAGTGCCAAGAACATCTTCGTAACTTGCTTCTGCGAGTGGAGGAAAGAAAAAAGGAGAACGCCGAGATCCAGAGGCGCGTCAAGACGCTCATGGGATTCGAGAAGCACTGCAACCGGCGAGCTTTCGACCGGGGCTGCGTTGCGAGGTTCGTCGCGTCCCTGGCCACCTTAAGCTACTCCACTTCCAGGCTCAAGAAGCACCGAGTCGTGGCCGGGCCCGAGAAGAACAAGGACGTGGACAACTTCCGGGAGCTCAAGAACAGCGTCAGGTGCTCGAAAAGCTGGTCGCCCAAGGAGAGCGAGGCCCTGCACAGCACGGTAAAGATGCAAGTCCAGCAGCATCTCCTTGTCCAGGCTATGGAAGCGGTGGTCCTGGACTTGAAAACAGGAGTCTCTCTGGAAGAGCGCGAGAAGGAGATCGACAACATCTCGGATGCGGAGGTGAGGAACCTGATCGATGTGGTGGACTGGGAGATCGTCTCCAGGGGCTCGCTTCCGGCTAGAACGGCCAAGGAGTGCAAGGCCAGGTGGATCAACTTCGAGGACAAGCTCATCAACCACGGGCCCTGGAGCAAAGCCGAGGACCTCCAGCTGCTGGGCATTGCCAAGGAGTTTGGCTTCGCTCAGTGGGAGAGTGTGGCCGAGAAGCTGGGGACTTACAGAACTCCAGCGCAGTGTTTGATCCGGTACCAAAGGAGCTTGAACGCCAACTTATCGCTGAGAGAGTGGAGCCGGGAGGATGACGAGCAGCTCAAGCTGGCGGTGGACATGTGTGGCGAGAAGGACTGGCAGAACGTAGCGGCGTGCCTGGAGGGAAGAACCGGGCAGCAAGCGATGCACAGGTGGAAAGAAGTTTTGAGGGGGAAGAAGCGCGGGCGATGGTCGCTGGAGGAGGACAAGCGCCTCAAGTGTGCCGTGATGGTGTGCGGGCCTCACCAGTGGAAGTCCGTCGCGGCTCACGTCCCCGGCCGGTCAGAGACGCAGTGCCGAGAGAGGTGGCGGAACGTTTTGGATCCAAATCTGAGCTTCGATATGTGGAGTCCGGAGGAGGACGAGAAGCTGGAGGAGGCGGTGGAGAAGTTTGGGATGCATAAGTGGTCGTCGGTGGCGGAGGTGATGTCGCCGAGAACGGACAACCAGTGCTGGCGGCGGTGGATGGCTTTGCATCCCGAGAGCAAGGAGAGTTTCCACAGGGAGGTGGTGCTCAAGAAAACGCTGCTGCCCCGATTCTCCAAGAGGAAGAAAGAGCGGCCGGGGCTGGAAGTGAGCGACATCCTCCTGGTGGAGAGTGGTGACACTGTCTTGCAATTGCCCCCGGGGAGTGACGATCCTGGCCAAGACGCTGAAGCTAGTAGCTTCGAGCTGGACGAAGAGCTGGAGGAAGATCTCGAGAGTCCCGGAAAGCCAGGAGTTGAGCGCTGTAGACGAAACTCGATGGTGGACGTTACCAGTGAGAAGGATTTCGGTAGTGGTGGTTGCAAGAAGCGGGCTAGAACGAGGGCCGGGAGAGTGGAGGATTCACAGGCAAAGCGTCCTCGGCAACGAAAGCCGCGAGGCCGGAAGACGGTGGACGTGGATCTTGAAGATGAGTGGCAAGATGGAAGGGAGATGCGAGCTGCTAGATTGGAGAAGATACGAGGCAAACGAAAGAATGGCGAAGATCTGGAGATAAATGAAGTCACGGAAACGATCGGAAGGCAAAGCAAGAAGATATGTTCAAGGTGACGAGGAGATTTTTTTCTCATTCTCTTTTGTTTTTCGAGGCTTAGATAGAGCTAGGTTAAAAGTTTGATCGAAGAATGGTTTCGAAAAGAAACATGAAAGCTTCATCTTATACATATGCTGTGTCATGTACAAGCGCTCTTACTAAAAACTAAAAGCTTGTGTGTTCGTCGCTAAGTTGGATAGTCAGCGTTGATGCCAAGTATGCGAACCTTGTGCATGTGAGGAAGCTTTGCGATGACGAGCACGAGCACCGCGATGGTGTTGAGGAGGAGGAACGGGTTCTTGTAGTCCGTGGTGTGGGACGCGATGAGATACCTAGAGGAAAAAGAGTTTCACTGCGTGAGAGCTCGCTCGAAAGCAATGGCAAGAACAAGAGACTTCACTGCATGAGAAGATAGAGCTCGCTCGAAGATCAAGTAAGAACAATGCGTGACAAGATAGAGCTCTCGCTCGAAAGCAATGGAATGGATCAAGAGACTTTCACCGCGTGAAAAGATAGAACTCGCTCGGAAGCAATGGAATAAGTAAGAACAAGAGACTTTCACTGCGTGAGTCGCTTGAAAGCAATGGAATGGATCAAGCAAGATCACTGCGTGAGACAAGATAGAGCTCGCTCGAAAGAAATGGAATGGATCAAAAAAGAACAAGTGACTTTCACTGCGTGAGACAAGATAGAGCTCGCTCGAAAGAAATGGAATGGATCAAGAAAGAACAAGTGACTTTCACTGCGTGAGACAAGATAGAGCTCGATCGAAAGAAAGCAAGACCAAGAGAAAACTTACAGGACCACTGGCACCACCATCAAGAACTTGCGGTTCCGCGTGAGCTGCCGCCCGTGATCCATTTGCTCCCACCACGTCAATTTGCTATACAGGCCTTGGTCCTCGGCAAACGGCGTCCCCTTCTTCCAGTGGAAGAAATTGTACGTCACCTACGCACGCATTTTCCCGTGATCTTAGAAAAAACCATAGAAACAAGAAAAAAAAACCAAAGAGGGGAACAAAAAATCGAAGGCTTACTCCAAAGTGGACCAGATTGACAATCGTCCATGCCGTTCCCACGGAGCATCCCAGCAGCGATAGCACCAAAAGCCATGACAAGAAGATGATGAGGATGTAGGTCGTCCAGATTCCAGGGTACTGGAACCACTCTGTGTTCTTGTTGAGATCCGCGGGATGCCCTACCTTGACAAACATCGGGCCAAGCGAGCAGCGCTCCCAAAACCCTGATCTTAGAACTCTACAACCCTAGAAGAGAGGCGAATATGCTTGGCCCCGTCAGCATTCACACGTGGAGAACTCGTGGCACGGTGGGTGACACATGGAGGGCCGTGAATCTTTGGTTTTAGGGCTTGCTGCCAGGTAGGAGAGAATGGCGGTATATTGTAGGATATGCCGGAATGTCGCTTTACACGTGGCTGGGTTTTGCAGAGGTGGCATTGCTCGCAATCTGTGTGCCCAATAGCGATTGGGTAAGCCTATCTCACTCTCTCTCGCTCTTCTCTCTCTCTCTCTCTCGATCGAGCGTGGGGCATAGCTGGGAAGCTAATGGTAAAATTGGATTGGTCGTGGGCGCACGCCATGCAAGCGCTGATTTTCCTGTGAGCGAAATACCAGGTCGCTTGGGCGATGGAATGTCTGCTGCGTCCAAGAACAAGAATTGGGATTTCTGCGAGATCGCATCCTAAATGGGTCGCCAGGAAAGAGTTCCTTGGATCCAATCCGATCAAGCAGTGGTCTAGTTCTTCTTGTTCTCCGGCTGCCGACGCTATCAGGGAAAAGAGGGCGGTGTCCACCACTGTTTGCGCGGTCCGGGAGCCCGAGTATGTGGAGGACAAGAAGCTGGAGAGGAGCAGTGGAATCCAAAGCATCGAGGTCGGTTCTCACTGTTTGTTCTTATCGATCGAGAGATTCCTGAGTTTGTTTTGTTTGATGTCCACAGGGAGCAAAGTGGGATCCCGACGCACTGTTTCTCAAAGACTCCAGTGAGCCTCTCTGGGAGCAACTTAGCTTAACGTTTCGAGTCGTGTATGGACTCGGTGAGTGTGAAGTTTTCTTTCTAGAAATCCCATGACCTCCTCTTTCTTGAATCATAGCTATGGTGGCTAACTTTGAGCTCTCGCTCGCAGGCTTGTATGCAGGGCTAGCGTTTGTTGGCCAAGCCATTTGTAAGGTGATTGGTATAGATTGCTGGGGTGGCTTTGAGATATCTCCAGAGGCTGTGTTGGATGGCCTCGGCTACGCAGTCGTGCCTATGCTGGCTTTACTCTTTATCCAAGACGTAAGCTCTTCGAAAAAATTTCTATCTCCGGTTCTAAGTTGCGCGTATCACACATAGGATGCGATTGTCAATGCTTGGGCACCCGCTAGAGCTGTGCGTGATGTCGAGGACGGAGAACTTATGGAGTATTTCGAGGGAATGGGGTGGCAGGTACTTAGTTTTTTGTTCTCTTCTCAACGTTGTTCGTCGATTCAAGTATTGATTATTTCACGATGTTTGCAGTTCCTCCCTATCGTTATAGCCGGAGCTCTTTCCGAAGAGATCTTCTTTAGAGTTGCTCTTCAGGTTGGTTCTTTCTACCTCTTGATTGTTGGTTTTCTAGAGAAAAAAAAACTGATTTTTATGAATTCTTATGTAAATTTCAGGGTGGCTTTTCACATGCAATCCAAGCCAGTGCGAGTCTTAACCAAACTCCACAGGGACTGTCCGCACTGGTAAGCAAAACAAGCAAGCATTCGAGCCTCTCTTTAATCGTTTTGTTTTCTTCCAGACTGCTATAGTACCGTGCTTCGCACCGTTTGCACAGATTCTGGCCGTCGTCCTGTCCTCGGCATTGACAGGCTCTATGTACTACGTGATCACAGCTCCAAAAGGTTTGGAAATTCGTAAACAATAGCCAGCTTGACTGAAAAAGGTGTACTTTGGTTGCAGATCCAACTTATGTGATTGCACCGGTCTCCCGTGGAAAACAGGCTCTGAAAGACATGAGGAAGCGATTTGAAGGTTTGTGTGCGGCGTTCTTCCGGTCCAGTTTCTGAGAACAAGTGTCCATTTGCAGTGTGGAACGAGAGGAGAACGATGAAGAAGATTTACTCTCCCCTCATGGAATCACTGTTGGCACTCTACCTTGGATTCGAGTGGCTACAGGTACACACAAAAATTCTATTTTTCCTTGCAGAAAGTTCACTTTTCTTCCATTTTTTTCTTCTCACAGACTGGGAACATATTGGCACCAATGGTCACTCATCTTGTTTACTCCAACGTCGTCGTTGGCAATGGGCTTTTGAGGCTGCATTATCAGAGGGTAAAGCTCAGGCAACGGGTTGCAAGCATTATGGGTTACAGGAAAGATCTGTGAGTGTTTTTACAAGTATTAAGGAGTACACCGCATAGCCGAGGATGTATATTAAGACACACAGTTTTGATAGCATTATAACGAACGGTCGCTCGCTCTGTACAGAAAATAGCTATGTAAAGCTTTGAGAAAAATGAGCATATATATATTTGCTATCGAATTTAGATTGCAAGCATGATGATTTACTGATAGAAATTCTTTACAAAATGATTTATCTGCCAATTCAACAATTTGAGTCTCTACTATGACGTCTTCAACGGCGGAAAGATCTCGTTATGCTTCGCTTATTCGGTCATGCACAGACTCGCAAGACCTCGCGAGCGCCAAAAACCTTCATGCGCTTATTGCTTCCAGTGCTCAAGTCCATAACAGATATCTGGCAAATCTCCTCATCAATATGTACGCCAAGTGTGGCAGCCCCGCCGATGCCCTCGCCGTTTTCGGCCAGATCGAGCAGCCCAACGTCTTCTCCTGGAATCTTATACTTTCTGCATTTGCCCGTAACGGGCATCTGCAGGAATCAAGGAATATTTTCGATAGCATTCCTCGTCCTGATGCCGTTTCCTGGAACACCATCATCTCCGCCTACACAAGCAAGAGAGAAATCAGCGAAGCGAGAGCCTTGTTTGATCGGTCTCCATGCAAAAACACTGTGTCATGGAACTCGATAATCTCGGGGTATGCCGAGAATGGGTATTTGTACGAAGCGAAGAGTTTGTTCGATCGAATTCCAGAACCAAACGCTGCGTCCTGGAACGCCATGCTGAATGCGTATGCTCAAAGCGCTCACATCGACGAGGCGAGGGAGTTTTTTGAGCGAATGCCCGTGAAGAATGTTGTGGCGTGGACGACGATGGTGGCGATGTTTGCCCAGAACGGAGAATTGCATCGAGCGCGGGAGCTTTTCGAGAGGATGCCAGACAGAAATGTGGTGTCTTGGACGACCATGGTGCAAGCCTATGCCCAAAACGCTCAGATCGACGAGGCAAAGCGGCTGTTTGATAGAATCCCAAATCCCAACCCCATCTCCTGGAACGTCATGCTCCTCGCATACTCCCACAATGGGCATTTGGAGCAAGCCGAAAGCTTGTTCAAGGAGATGCCAAGTCCAAACACCGTGTCTTGGAACGCGATGATCCAAGCATACATTTCTAGCAATCGCGAGCTCCATCGAGCGAGAGATTTGTTTGAGAGAATGCCATCCCCGGACGTGGTGTCGTGGACTTCGATGGTTTCGGCATATGCAAAGGCTGGAAACATTGGCGAGGCGAGGAACTTGTTTGATCGAATGCCCGCAAAGAACACGGTATCGTGGAACACCATGATCTCGGCCTACGCGGAGAATGGATTGTTGATCGAGGCGGAGAAACTCTTTAGCGAAATTCCAGCGAGAGGAGCGAGCACCTGGACGACCATGATGGCTTCTTACAGCCAAAACTCCATGAACGATCGAGCGCTTCGATGCTTCTCTCTCATGGATCACGAAGGAGTTTCTCCGGATCTCGTCGCGTACTCCACTGCGCTTAGCGTTTGCTCGGCTTTGAAGTCTCTAGAAAGAGGCCAAGAGATCCACTCGAGCTTTGTCATCAGCGGGCTGGAACCGGATCAAACTCTCGGTAACACTCTCGTAGATTTGTACTCCAAGTGTGGCTGCATGGAGAGATCCCAGGAAGAGTTCGATCGAATGCCCAAACACGATATCACGTCGTGGACTTTGCTCATCGCTGGATACACGATCAATGCCCGAGCCAAGACGAGCATAAAAGTTTTTGCCGCTATGGATCAAGCCGGCTTCCATCCCGACAACTTTAGCTTCGTTGCAGCCTTCGAAGCGTGTGGAAGCTTGGCATCTCTAGCTCTGGTCAAGATCCTCCATGAAACTTACGAGACGAGCAAGAACGAGCCCGATCTAGTGCTGGAAAACTCGCTGATAGATCTCTACTCGAAGTGTGCTCACCTCCAGGGATCGAAGGCCGTGTTCGATGGCATGAAACACCGAGACCTGGTCTCCTGGAGCACGATGATCACTGCCTTCGTCCAGAGCGGCCGTCCGCAAGAAGCCCTCGATCTCTTCATGGAGATGATCAGCGAGGGATTCGAGCCGGACTACGTGAACTTCATCACGGTTCTCACGGCTTGTAGCCATCTCGGCGAGCACAAGAGGGCCCTGGACTACTTCGCGTCCATAACCGTGGATCACCACGTAAATCTCGTGAGAGAACACTACCACTGCGTGATCGATTTGCTCGCGCGCGCCGGCAAGCTGAGCGAGGCCGAGGATCTTATAAAAAACATGCCTTTTGAGCCGGGTGAGGTCGCTTGGATGTCGCTGCTATCTTCGTGTAGAACACACCGTGAAAGCTCGCAGCGAGCGGCGGCTATGGCTTCCAAGCTCGATTCCTCGTCTTATGTAATGCTATCAAACATTTGTATAGAAGTTTAATCAGGCAAATCCAACGGCATGTGGCCTGCCACGTGTTGACACTAAAAGGTGTCGAGTTCGACTCTCAAGGACGAAAAAGCTTAGATTTAAAGGGAGTCCAAGGTTCGATTCCTAAAGGCTTCAGAAACTTTTCTTTAGGCTTTAATTCTCTATCTATTTGCAAGGCGTGGAGGGAGAGGAGGAGGCGATGGCGGGCATCGCCGGATTCTTCACGCGCAAAGAGCCGGCGGAAGAGAATCAGGTGTGTAGATCCGCGCGGTTCTGGAAATCCTTGTGCATCGATGCGATTTAGGTCTGAAAATGGGCAATGTGCTGCTGACAGGTTCCATTTTGGAGCAGTCCCGAGCGAGCTGGTTGGCTCATGAAGCAGGGTAAGGTAGTCCTCTAAAGTTCCCTCTTTTCCCGAGAATTAATCTGTGCTGTGTGGATGCTAATAGGAGAGTACATTAAAACTTGGAGAAGACGCTGGTTTGTTCTTAAGCAAGGAAGGCTTTTCTGGTTCAAGGAGAGCACTATCACTCAGGTTGGAGATTTTCCTTCATTTTCTCTACACTTTTTTTTCGTCCTTTCATCTTGTCTTTTGCAGTACTCTAGACCACGAGGAGTGATTCTTGTGAGTGGATGTCTGACTGTGAAAGGAGCCGAGGACGTTCTAAACCGGCAGCACGCATTTGAATTGTCCACGAACAAGGAGACGATGTATTTTATCGCGGACTCGGACAAGGTCTGGCCGTCTTTAGCTCAATAGATCATGCTTCACGTTTAACTTGCAAATCACGCAGGAAAAAGAGGACTGGATCAACTCTATCGGGAGATCAATCGTCCGGCACTCCAGGTCCATAACGGAGACGGAGGTTCTCGACTATTAGCTAAGTAATGGCGTCGGTTCTCTCGTTTGGATTATATAATAGCTTGCGTGGCTAAGATGAAGTGTGTGTACAGTAAGCAGCAGCTGCTTAGGTCGCTCTTTCTCCCGTCTCTCAATTTATCTATCCCTGGAAACTTCATTCCTCGTCGGGGCTTGCAAGTGCATAGTCAGCGTATATGGGCTGCTTTTAGGTGCTACTTGGTAGCTTCCCTTGCATCGTACTTCTCTTTTTTCAATTTCAGTGATGCACAGAAGGGTAACTTATGGATTCTAGTAGCATCTCTCTGAGTGTCTGGGATGAGTCCTCTCAATTAGATCTAGTAGATACCTCCTCATCGCAGCGGCAGGAGCCTGCCAGTTCAGCGATTGTGCCGCAAGAAACCGTCGGGGCTTCACGGTATCGCGAGTTTATCGATAGAGTTTTATGGAACGGAGGATCGTCTTTCGATGCCTGGCTCAACGCAGCGTCTTTTCAGGTTCGTGTGAGCTTTCTTTCTCCAGGTTCTTCTCACCGCTTTGTTCTTGCAGGTGTCTCAAGTCTTGCTCAATCTCCCATTCACATTCGCTCAGATGGGAATGGCATCAGGCATTACTTTCCAATTGCTCTATGGCATGATGGGGTCCTGGGTTTCTTACATCATGACCAGCGTGTACCTCACTTACCTAGCAACGCAAGGCTCGCAGCAGAAGAAAAATCACGTTGTTCAGGTTTGTATCAGTGCGATCTCGCAGAGTGCTCTTGGCTGACCTTCCCTTCCAGTGGTATGAAGTTATGGAGTTTTTCCTCGGGCCTTGGGGCAAGGGAGCGACATTGCTATTATACTTTTGCGGCTTGTCTTCCGCTGCCATGATCCAAATGGTAGCCTGTGCGAGGTGTGCTTGATTTTCTAATGCTTTTCAATTCTCTGCCTTTATCCTGGATAGCATTGCAGTGCCGCGTACTATATCAATGATAATCTGGACAAACGGACATGGACCCTTGTCCTGGGGCCGTTCATGTTTCTGGGTGTTTTGCTCCCCTCGCCGCGTAATTATCGGATGTGGTCTTTTGCTGGCATTATCATGACGACATATGTGGCTTGGTATTTAACCATTGCTGCAGCAGTCCAGGGGAGAGTAAGCCGTTTGACAATGCTAAAGTCACTGTGCTGAATCTTGGGATTTTTGCAGGATCCGGGGGTGAAGCACACTGGTCCTCATAGCCTGGAAAACTATTTTTTGGGCGCATCTAACATAATCTACACATTTGGAGGACACGGACTGACAGTGTACGTCTTCATATTCCTTTCTTTCTGCATTTAAGCTCTCTTAACGGTTTGACAATGTTGTTTTCGTTACCGTGCCAACAGTGAACTTGCAGGGTCAATGTGGAAGCCAAGAGATTTCAAGCGAGTGTATTTTTATGCCGTCTTATATACTCTCACCTTGACGCTACCATCTGCATCAACTGTATACTGGGCTTTTGGCGATAGGATGCTGCACAACGCTAACGCCTTCGCTGTTCTTCCCAGGACGAAGTTCCGCGATGCCGCGGTAGTACTGATTATCATCCACCAGGTTTGTCAAAGAGTGTTTATCCTTTTTTCTTTGTGTGTGCCATTGCTCTAACTCTTTTATCTTGCAGTTCTTTGAATTTGGTCTCGTAGCGTTGCCATTCTTCATTATGTGTGAGAAGCTTTTTGGGATTCACCACTCGAATTACTACCTGTTAAAAGTGGCTGCCAGGATACCGGTTTTTCTCCTCATATGGTTTTGTGCGATTATGCTGCCTTTCTTTGGTCCCATCGACTCCTTCAACGGTTCCTTCTTTACAACGCTCGCTGTTTACTTCCTTCCATGCCTTACGCATATGATCGTCTTCAGAAGTGAGAAGGCACGCAAGGTAAATGGTTTTTGTTTCCCTTTGCATGTTGGTAACTTAACAATGGCTTTTTGTTTTCTTAATAGAGTTCATTTGAGCAACCTCCATTCTGGATACGCAGCTGGGCTGGAATGTATTGCATCAATCTGGGAGTGATTTTGTGGGTGGTGGTGGTGGGTGTTGGGATTGGAGGATGGGCAACGATTTCCAACCTGACAAGACAAGTGCGAACTTTTGGGCTTTTTGCGAGGTGTTACCAGTGTCCACCAAAGTCTTGACGTCAGTAAGTTTTTTATTCTTCCTGTAAACAAACCATATATTACGTGGTTGCATGTCCGCGGGTTCGATCCCCGGCAACGGCGGATTAAGATTCCGTGGCAACAACTCCCAACCTCGAGGGATCATCGGTGTTGAAGATGGAAAAGGTTCGTGGGAGGCACTCTAATGTTCTAATAATTAAATCGGTAGTTTGAGGTTTACAATGTTTGTAGGAACTAGGAAAGTTAGATATTTTTGTGATCAAATATATAAAATAGATTTTGCAACAAGAGTAGATATAAATGACCAAAGGTTCTTTCTATGAACACATAAAGGTTGAGCAAAACAACAAGAAGCAGCAGTGCAAGGAAATATTTTCTTTCTTAAGTGTTTGTGTGGAGGAAGGTGTGTGAGGTCTGAGACGGATAATGGCTGTCTCTCGCTGATAGTAAGTTCCAGACAAGATGAAGTTTCCAGCCGGACAATTTTACCACTCCAAAAGGAGGTATAACTTAAAGGATCCAAATTGTCGCTGACTGAATGCAGACGCTAAACGATCATCCCAGTCGCAAAAAAGATCAAGCATGTCTGCTTGCAGACTGGAACCAAGCACTATTTAGGACCTTCCTCTAATATGATTGGCTTACAAGTCAACGAGCCACCGTTTACAGAAGATATGCCGAGGATACATGGAATATCAAATTTTTACACGCAAGAGGATATCCTTTGGGAGGCATGCAAAGCTGCCAATCTGACTTGGTCTGTTCATCGTGCGAATATCATCATCGGATTTGCACCTAGAGACTACGCTAACATGTTGGGACGTTTAGCAGTGTGTGCTGCAATCTGCAAGAAAGAAGGTCTCAACTTCGTCTTCCCTGGCGACTTGAACAAATGGAACAGCTTCACGAATTTATTGGATGCGGGCTTGATAGCCGAGCAAGAGTTGCATGAATCCAAATGCTCATAATCAAGCCTTTAACATCGATAACGGGGATCTCATCAGCTGGAAGAGGCTGTGGAACCTACTGGCCAGGGAACTTAATCTTCATGCGGAAGCTCCACAGGAGTACGACGGTGGTGGTAAGAGCTTAGTGAATGATGCATGGTAAGGAGACAATCGGGAAGGATATTACAACCAAATGTGGACTCCTAGAGTCTGACCTTCAACCTGAAACGTGGTGGCTTTATGATCTGGTGATGAAGTTGCCGCAATTTATCATCAACAAGAGCAAAGACTACGGCTTCAGGAACACCGAGAAGTCCATCTGCTTGTGGATCCAGAAAATGAAGGATAAAAAAATCATACCTAGTGACTGCTTCAAGATTGATTATGGATTACCTTCTGTCTGCAAAATTTACCAGAATCTATAATGTAAGATATCACGATCCATCCTCCAAAATTTGTAGTGTGACTCGTCTTTCTTTACTCTTGTTCTCTGAACTCCATATCAGGGAAGAAAGCACAAGGATTCTCTGGCTCTATTTAAAGCTAAGAAAATCATGATAACCATAGAATATTCTAAGAATATTTCCCACGGTCTCTTTTTTATATTTTGATATTTAATCTTGATATTAATCTTGTCTTTATAAATTATAAACTTTTTCATTTTGTGCAATTATTTTATTAAAAGTTATAAGGTCTAAGTATAAAGCTACAATGTTGTATATTAATATTAACAGCCATACATTAAAATTAACATAATCAAATTTTGATAGCCGTCAAATTGATTTCAATCTAGACTGCAAAAGCTAAAAACTAAGGCTTTTTTGGGTTAATGGATATTTCTATTTATGCTTATAATTTTATTTTAAAACACTAATTTAATATTTTCTTCAGTATTTATATTTTTAATGAAAAATAGGAATACAAATAAAATAAATATTAGAGTTTGCTTATTTATTTCTGAGGATAAACTGAAATCTTTAACTTAATGTTTACAATTTAAACAAAATATACACGAGAAATTAAATTCTGGGAAGATTGTAGTGAACTTCCATCTAGTATGGCGTGCAATTCGTAAAAGGGTGGATTTTACAACGGTGGATTTTACTCACACCACGTGTATGCTTGCTATTGGTCCACGTGTATTATGAGTGTGAAAAAAACACAGGCATAGAATATTTTACGAATATCCAATCCTTATGCCCCGGATGGGGCATCATGCCCATAGCAATGACCCATGCTATGTATGGAATGGAGCCATTCATGGCCCATAGACCCATTCATCCCATGCATTTGAGCAAGTTGTTAATGTTGCAAACCAAATGGACAATCGACTAAATTGCATACCATACTACCTTATCTAGAGCACTATGTTCTCACGTCTTGCTCTTGGCGCTCATGGCAAGAGTTTATCTTTCGTTGCAATGCATTTACAAATTGCATGCCTTTTTTAACATAGTGTCATAGCAAGCGTAAGTGAACTCCATCTAGAATTTGGGAGTATGGCAGCCTTGATCGTCATCAACAGCCATCGCCGTGTCCTCCCCACATTGCCGACCGCCGCTGTGCTGCTCGCAATCATTGATGCTCCCATTGTTACCCGCCACAGCGTCTAGGCAATCGTTGAATCCTCTTGCTTCCTCTGTCTTGCATTGTGATTCTTGAGGTGTATTCACTATGGACGTGAAGAACTCCTGGGCTCTCATAGCTGGAAAATGTTGGAAATTGAGTCACACCTGGGCACACCTCTTTTAACATAGTGTTCATAACAAACGTAAGTGAACTCCATCTAGCTCCATTGCAAAGCCATGGATATATACTATCTGGAGTCATGTCTTTAATAGATCCCATTGAGTTTATCTTTCGTTGCAATTGATTTCCAGTGTAGCTCTCTCAACACTTGAGTTTTGTAACATGATGCTTAGAAGATTTGCATATGACTCAAAAGTAGGTTGAAGTCTAACCAATTCGATGAATTGGTGGGGCTCATACTTCAATTGTGTACTATGCAAAGGTGCATAGTGTTGATGTTTAGACCTAGAGTTCTCTCAAGAGGAGCATGCTAAAGGAAATTTGAGAATGTGGAAGTTGTAATTGCATGTAGTAACATTCAGGATAACAATAGACACTTTCAACATTTTCCAATTATAATTGTTTCAAATTGGACCTGGAGTTCTCTCAAGAGGAGCATGCTGAAGGAGATTTGAGAATATGGAAGTTGCAATTGCATGTAGTAACATTTAGGTGAGAAGAGCAATGACAATGGACACTTCCAATATTTTCCAATCATAACCGTTTCAAATTTTGAAATTTGTAAAAAGGGTTTCCAAGCATGGGGCAAAACTATCCAATGTATGCCGTGCACTGCGGCCGAAGGACTGGAGTTTTCAGGGATTAGAAGCTCGTGCTCACTTTGGTAAGAGTAGATTTGTAATAGTTTCCTATATGGTGTAACCCTTTTGCAATGTTTGAGGTTTCTGGGTTTCCTCCTGGCATGGCAAACTGGAGAGGATTTTATGACTTCTTTGAGGCACAACAATGGATCCAACAGGGGACAGGACCGAGGATTCTATATGATGCCTCCTCCTCTCAAGGCTCGACAATCCCTTTGACAAGGCAGCCCAAGACTACTAATCTTGTGCCAATCACCGAGGGGAAAGGTCCAGCTGAAGAAAGCGACAGCGAGGGATATGTTACTGCTCGAGATGCAAGCGAGGACGAGTTCACAGACCCAGAGGGTGATTTTGGTTCTACCAAACAGGTTGAGAGTTCCTCAAGCGAGGATGGGCATCATGTAGCACCCAAGCTCGATAGTTTTGACCCAGAACCTAAATTGGGAGTTGCTTTGGAAGCTATAGTGATTACCCTTGGTGAGACAAGCATAAGCCAAAAGGGTACCAAGGGCCGCAAGTGCCTATAATGGGCATTTGTGGAATATTTTGAATATTCTTACCTTTAACTTTGCCAATGAACTGGAAAGAGTCTCTTTCAAAGTGTGAAACATATTTCAAGACAATTATCTATTTTTATTGTGAAAGTGTCTACATTACTTCCACAACATCAGCCCAATCCATACAAGCTCTCTGGATTTTGGAGTGCCCGGTGGATCTTGTGTTTGGTCCACTCCTTTGACGGGTATGTTAAAGGGAAGAAAACTTCTCGTGTGCATGTGGAGAACCTGGGAAATCGAGTAGATGATGTACTCTGTCTCTCAACTTGGATCCAAATAGGCTCTCCCGGTCGGAACTCTAGAGAATCAACCGCAAAGTGATGGAACTTGGATAACTCTTTCGGGCTCATATCTATAAAATGTTCAAACATACAAGAGTTTTAGTTGTTTGTGAAAGTAAATAGTTACCTCGAATGATGTCCACAATCCAGCTGCGGAAGTTCTCTCCAAAGTCCTGATCAAAGATCAGGCAGTTGATGAACTCCGCAGGAGGAATGATCGTCCTTACCCGGAAGACCTGTAACAAAGCATCTGTCCCAATGAGTGAAAGCCCACCTAGCAATGCTGGACTCTTGTAAGGCCTTTGACGAGCTTCCGTGCGCATTGAGTGTTGGAAGCCATCTCGGAGTAAGTCTCCCACTACGTTTGGCTCGATGAATAGGTAACGCCAAACCACTGCAGCCACGCATGCCTCCACAGCTTGCTCATAACCTTCACCAAGTTCGGTGAGTCTAGACTCAAGCACTGCATTGTAGTCAGTAATTGCAGGGTTCTCTAGGATGGAATCCACAGACTTGCGCCGATCGCCCTCCTCCTTTAGGCTTGATGCACCTCGCAATTGGTTGAGTGCATTCCAGATATGCGGCGCGCATGCCTTGAGGTCCATCTCATATAGTCCTCCTCGGGCAAGTCGTCGGTCATCCTCGTTTGGAACCTCTCCAGCTGCAATTGCCAATGTTGCAATTGTACACCCGCGAGAAACCTGTGCATTACATTCGAATGCTTGGAATAGCAACCATCCCACAAAGATAGCCTGTGCATATAAAAGTGAGGAGCATATAAAACTTGTGCTTTAAACTTAACTTACCACATCCCGCTCTTCTTGTCGCAACGTCCTAGAATGCACTGGCATCCTGGGATGCCAATATGTGGCTCCTTCCCTAAGCACAAACAGTCCACGCGTCTGTAACACAAAATTACTCTAGTGAGCCAAGTGAAAATTAGACTTACTGATCCTGGAATCTGGCGAACAGCCTCCCTAATGGCTTTTGCATGTGGCCCACCCGCATCTATTGTGGATTCCTCCCACACCAAAGCTCCTCCAATCTCAGACGCATAGACCACTTTGTAATTTGGTGTGCGGAGATTAGTATTGAAGGCGAATTGGAAACAACTGAATTCATTGTTTGGTGCAATCTAGAAGGACAAGTGAGGTAACTCCAATTCATAGGCAATCCATTGCTTACCAGAATGCGAGACGGCCTCAAACGTGTACGAGCAAGTCTGTATGGCAGAAGCATGGCCTTCTCGATGCAAAAACGAGAGAACTTACAATACAGTGTTTCAGCAGTGTTAAATAGTTCTCTCAATTGTTGTGCAGCCGCCCAATTCCTACGTAGGTCCCTGCACAAAACCATAAGATGGTACTAAGTGCTAAGAAATAGATACACGTACCTCTTCTCAATGAACCATGCTATTGTGGACTCAAGAATTGAAGGAGGCACATTAATACTTACTTCAGCAAGGAGCTGTTGGATTGTGTTGTCACAAAACACATCCTCGTACTGTGCTTCTGAAAGGCCAAGCTTAAGGAGAAGACTCTCCCAATCTTGCCAATGAGGCATAGCTTGGTTGAAAAGCACGCGCCGCAGAAATATTTCACCGCCAGCCCAATGGAATTCAGGGTGTCTAGCAATAGCGTCTAGCATCTCCTCGTCACTTGTGCTCTCCACGGCAAAGCAACCAAGAAGCTTGTGTTTCAGCCACTGCACCTGTGAGAGAACTTCAGCATCCCTCTGTGCCCTCACCTCAAGGGTTGTGGTGGCATCCTATAAGGCAGAAACCTCCTCAATCT